TGAAAATTCAGTGGGTATTAAAATTATGGGGAAAATGCTATTTGCGAGGCAGGGACCCAACCCCCCCCCACAGCATTTATTTATAAAAAACTGTGTGTTTATTCCTATTTGTTTAAACTTCAGTCTCCTTCAAAGTATTCTCTGTTTGATGCAATACATTGCGATGCTTTTTCCACTGCTCAGAAAAGTTTTTGTACTCGTCCATTCTGATGCTCCGTGCTCTGATTCTGATGCCTTTTAGTGCTTCTGCTGTTTTTGTTTCACCTCTTCCACATGGGCAAAATGTTCGCCTTTGAGCACTTTTTTCATCTGAGGAAACAAACCAAAAAAATGACTCTGGGTGAGATCCAGTGATCAGGGAGGGTGGGGCACAGGGGTCATGTCAATTTTGGTCAAAAATTGCTGAACACTCAGTGGGTGTAAGTAGGTGTGCTTGTAAATTACCCATCGTGTCATGGGCAAACGTGTTGAAAGAATCTTCAAGGCCAGGCGAGGTTACTCACTCCTGTCATCCTAGCACTTTGGGAGGTGAAGGTGAGAGGATTACCTGAGTCCATGAGTTTGAGACCAGCCTGGGCAACTTGACGAGACCATATCTCTACAATAAATCAAAAAATTAGGCTGAGCACAGTGGCTCAGCCTATAATTCCAGCACTTTGGGAGGCTGTGGTGAGAGGATTGCCTGATCTCGGAGGTTCGAGACCAACCTGGGCAACTTGGTGAAACCTGGCCTCTACAACAAATCATATAAACTAGCCAGGCATGGTGGTGTGCATCTGTGTTCCATCTACTTGGAAGGCTGAAGTGGAAGGATTGCCTGAGCCCAGCTGGTCGAGGCTGCGGTGACCATGAGTTTGACACTGCACTCCAGCCTGGGCAACAGAATGAGACTCCGACTCAAAAACAAAAGAAAACAAAAGAAATAAAAGTATCACCAAGTCGGGCTTGGTGGCTCAGCTTGTAAAACCACGCCTTTGGGAGGCTGAGGTGAGTGGATTGCCTGAGCCCGCGGGTTTGAGACCCACCTGGGCAGCGAGACCTCATCTCTACAATAAAT